TTTATAATGATTATCCATGTAAAAGATAAATCTTATCTATTAGCTAGACTATTTGCTAGAAAGTAGCAATARATAKTTATCTTAGCATTAGCCATCTAGTATAAATAGACGACTAGGTCTATTGTAAAATAAATGTGCGTAGGATTTTACTCTTTACGTCTACGTTTTATTTATAAAAGTAAAACCTTTGAAGCTCAAAGTCGTTCTTGAATGTTCTTATTTTATCTTTGAGACTTCATAACTTTCTTCGTAAAATCACTTTAATTTGGTTATTCATAACTAGATTATTAGTGTTATTGAGAGATCTGGGATCAACTATATATTCCCTACCGACAGCCCTAAGATCAATAAGAAGGCAGTTAAATCTCTGATGTACTTCAGACAGCGTCTCAGACTTTCCACAGAGAAAGCTTTCATATTGTCTTACTAGATTGATCTTTCTAGTCTCCTGAACCTGAGTGGTTCCTTCATATTGGACACAGAGTGTATCCCACATGGATTTAGAGGTTTTGAGTTTCATCACTGAGTGATAAATCTCATCAGAAAGAGACATAGCTATTATAGACCGAGCACACGTGTCTATAACTATCTTCTTCTTATCCTCATCGCTCCACTGATGTGGGAGCTTTGGAATCTGCCGTTCAGGAATCGCGGTAGTCGTAGCTGTTGCTGGAACAGCTGGAGCAATAGCAAATGGAATATATGGTCTATTTTCTATGTAATGTGGAATTTCAGGATCCACACCTTCCAGAAAGAGGACATCTGGTTCTTCCAGAGACTAAAGTTGTTACGGACAAGCCGGGGAGGTTTGGCAAGAGAGCCATTATCTTTTGTATGTGTGTTTGCAATTTGTAAAGTCATTTGTAAGCGGTAAAGTTATCTAAGAAAGGAGATAAACTAATACAGAAAATAGCTAAACACAAGGAAAGAAAGAAAACCCTACTCTGATACCACTTGTTGGTCCCGTGAGGGTCTACAAGAAGAGAAATAGTTTGTAAAAGGTGGGGGGATGAATACAAACACAGTATTTTCAAATTTAAAATATATATTGATAGAGAAGATCAATACAGATTTTACAAGATTGTTTGCGGAAAGATAAGGTAATAAAAACCTATCTAAACAATCTTTGGTTATACACAAAGTCTTAGCAAATTCAAGAAAAGAAATTGCTGTAAAGAAGATCCTTTACTTAAGCTAGAAAATGCTTGAAGTAAGAATTAGGGTTAGAGAGTGAGTTGCGTGCACTCTGCATGGAGAAGAAACACTTCTATTTATACCCAGTGCATTAAATGAACATTTAATGCAATATGGTATGGTTAGAGTGCGTGTCAAGCCTTAAGAGGAAGGCTTGTCCTTTGCTACAGTGAATAGTACAAAAAGCACTATTTATGAGTAGACATTCTTACTTAAAATTGGTGGACAAAGAGTCGACTAGTCGGCTCCGTATCGTACTAACTTTCATAAGGGTATGGGTTTTGTCCTTTGCATGCATAAGGACAAGACAACAACAATCGTGCTAAGCAAGCTCCCTTTGATCATTGAATGCTGGAATTACCTGAAGGTCTCATCGTCATTCACTGAAGCTTGAGCAGTCTTCATACATATGTAGACAGGCTTGTAATCACTGAGTACCGCTTCAGATCACGTACTCGCCGGTCCATAATCTTCAGTTTCAGTCTTCGACGTTTGCTGAAGGTTCTTTGGTGTGAGTGTTGTCTTCTTGAAGTATTGTTGTCTCTGATAGATTTACAATGCAAGTTCTTCAGCGATCACTGAACATACTCAGTGAAGATAGCTGGAACTGAAAATACAGAAACATAAATACAACGTATAAGTAAAAGGGATTATCATCAAATCACTTGAGAGAGAATATCAATAGGAAGTCATTTCACATCTTGTTTATGAGACTAAACAAACCACTGTAATACCACTTGTTGGTCTTGGAAAGTAATGACTTGCACAGAATGTGTTTGTAGAAGGGGGTTGAATACAAACATGATAGACTTTTAATTTTTTATTTTGTATTAAAACAAAGAATTACAGATTTGTTATGAAAACTAGGAAGATAAGACCTATGATCCTTAACAATCTAATTGGTGACAAATTTGCTAACAATGGAAGAGTGATAGAAGAAGGTACTCTTTCATATCCGAAGCATTAAAATAGTTCTTTAGATATTGACGCATATTTTTACTAAGAAACTTTCACTTTTAAGTACTGTCAAAACGGGTGAGTAACAATGAAAGACAAGGGTGATCTTTTATAGACACCGTTGCATCAAATACTATTATCCAACTTTAACGCGTCTTTTCATCTGATTTGCTAATTCATTCATGTTTATACTCTTCATTTCAGCCTTTGTAGTTGATGTAGACACTTGTTATCGTATCTCATCCTTTTGTATGTCAAGGAAACAATAAATGAAGTATGACACTAATAAAATAGTGTTTAGAACTTATTTTAGCTAACATGCTGAGCATGTCCCTGGACTAGGATGAGTGTTGAAAGAGTTAGTGATCCAAACTTGTTGTACAAGTTTGAACACAAAATTCGGCCCGGTAGTATTAGTATATGTCAGACTACTATTTGAATTTATCTTGTATCGATTTTTTTTGCTAGATGACAAACCATTATGTTTTCATGACTATATTGACCTTATTTCAACTAGTCTTCGATTTTGTTGAAGGTTTATGTTCTTGGATCAATACAAATTGTTACAAGACTTTTACAAGTAAAAATCATATTTTTTTTTTATTCCGAAATATAAGTTATACATCGAATTTCAGCTATAGAATATTTATGAAGTGGATTCATCGGATTCTAAAATAATTTAATACAAAACATGGGTTCTTGAATCTTAAGATAGAATAACCTTAAATGATTGGTCAATTGGATTCTCTAAATCAGATAGAGAATAATCAAACCAAAGATTTGATCTTCACAATCTTATATAGCCTTAAATTATTAATTAATTTGGATATATGGGATTGATCGATTTTATTTTTACTCATATTATATGTAATGGTTATTTAAAATTATAAACTAATGTAGATCTTCTTTTAAAAAATTGTTTTAACGGATCAAATTTTAATATATATATATATATATATATATATAATCAAGCTAAAATTCTTTAAATTAAAATATTGTATTTGTATTATTTATTTATCTTTTATCATCTTGTCTGTATTAATTAACATATATATATATATATATATATTATTAGAGATTTGTTTCGATTATATTATAAATGTTATAATTGACTAATTTGTTAAGATGTCATTTTTGGTCCTTTTTTTACATCTAGCTTATCGTTTAGTTTTTGTCAAACGTAATTTGTTAATCAACTAGTTTACCAAACATAGCCTTATTCAATTCAGATTCCAAAACTACGTAATGTCAACCAAACATGCACATTCCAATTCCACCGTATTCCAATCTGGAAATCAAAACACCCCCTAAATTTGAATTTGATTCAATATCTCAAGTAATCTTCTCGATTCATACTCAACTTTGGATCAAGGAAGATTCAGAGTTCGGTTCAAGAAAAATCCATAAAACCTACTCTCGTTCATTCAATTACAACCATTGAATTCTGTTTTCCTTTTAATCATGTTTTTATTACTACCCAGATGGTCATACCCACAAACTCGTATTAGCACCTGTTCATTTCAGCATTTCCAACAATTTTTACTCATATTTTTAATAAAACAACATCAAATGGTGAAATTGTTGTGGATGTCCGCATTTTCCTTCTTTTATTATCACCATGGATAAATACATAAGAGTTTCAAGGCTACTCTCATATATTATTTTCATATATAAAAAATCAGATTGTAATTTTTTTTATTAACCTGGATATCCAACCCGTTATGCGAGCCGACTAATCCCAGGACGACCACTTGCTTTGCAGATAGCCCAGAGTCACCGCATTTGAACATCCGTGGCCACAAGGGGATTTTTATTCCTCCTTGGATTTGAATCTAAGACCTCCTGGTACTTTTGACCTTTGGAACCAAGCTTAAACCAATCAGACACGTGGTTAATCAAATTGTAATTAAATTCATAAGACAGCGAACAGATCGACGGTTAAGGTATAATACATGTCCGGAGGTGCAAGGTGCATAATTATATAAGCTAGTTAGAACTTGAGAGTTGCAGGATGTCACAATACGGCAAGGTGGGGGTTAATACAGGTTCCAAGGGGCATAGCCTTCTAAAAAAAAGTCACCAAGGGGGCGGATGGTGATATGAGGTTCAAGACGGTATATACAAGCAAAATAAACAAACAAAATAATGAAGAACCCAAGATTTTGGATCAAATAAAAGAAAACCAGAGACAAATACCTTTTATTATGCATAACAATAAGAACCTAACAGTCTATGAATCAAAATTCAATGTCTTGTGCTTGTAGTTTCCAACATTTTGGATCCAATTCAGCCTCAAACACTTTATCTCTCCATTGAAAAACGCAACCACGAGCTTCTACATGCTCGATCACCAATCTTGGCACCAAACTTCTAAATGACGATTGTAGCTTCACTTTCGTCAGCCCTCCACATCCCAACAGCGCAACTGCAAGTCCGCTTCCACTCAAACCCTCCATGTGAAGGATCGTCAAGCTTTGCAAACACCCCACTCTAGCAAGGCATAACACTCCAACATCCGTCACTGAACTATACGACAAATTTATCTGAAAAACAATTCATTTTCGTTAGAAACCCAAAATGCAACTCATTCCCTTCTTTGCTTCTTATAAGCCCAATTAATAACTTTTGATTCAATTTATTGGTATCCCACGACTTTTGAACTAAGGAACTCACAAATCTACTTTCCTATCCATGTGGGATGGTTTGTTAAAATTCTTTTATACCTGTCTGAGATTTTGTGAAGAATGAGCAAGTGGGATTAATGCAGAGTCGTCTACATTGAAGCATTTCTTGATGTCTAGCTTCGTGAGTTGCTTGCATCTAATGGCAATGGCTTTTAGTCCTACAGACGTAATAAGAGGGCATCCTCGGCTTTCAAGGGTATTTAGCTTTGAACAGTTTGACAACGAGATCAAGGAGCTATCGGTGATGTTTCCACAGTAAGAAATGTTGATCATTTCAAGGGAAGGGCAACCATGAGCAACTGCAGAAATGCCCGCATCTTTAATTCCAACTGATCTAAACAACAGAAACACATTCGCAAGTTAATAATAAATAATTATAATGATAATAATAAAAAACCATCAACAGCAAATTTTCCATTTGCGAACCTGTATAAATCGAGCTCTATAAGTTTCGGGCATCCATTTCCAATAAAAATAAGCCCCTCATCGCTTATATTCAGGCATATCCCAAGCTTCAAGACAGAGAGTTGGGAACATCTTGAGATTGATTTTAGGCCTGCACAAACAGGGTAACATCATTCACCATTGCCATTTCATGAAAATTGCAACATTTCCAGTTTTACCCATTGTTACCGTTGAGAAAGTTGATACAAGATTATCCTATTTTGTCATTATCGAAGAATAATTAAAATACTTCCTTAAATGCTAAATGCATCAACATACAACAAAGTTCGCTTATTTCCCATCTAGTATAATAATTGAAGTATTTTTCTCAATCAATGTAGCAAGTGTTCAATTCTTTCTATTTCATACCCATTTGGACCGGTAACCCCTAGATCTTAAAACTACTACAGAAGCGGATGCAACGTTGTCAAGTTACACTAATGGGTATGAAATAGGAAACTGAACGTTTGTTACACTAACCGAGAAAAAAACTTGTTGCACTAAATGGGAACCAAGACAAATTTCACCATAGTTTGATGCATTTTGCCACCTTCCTAGAACTAGCCATAAAATCAAATGTTGCAATTTACAAGGGGTCACAGGGCACAAAATGTACTATTTTAACAGTTCTGAGAAGAAAGTGCCTACCTTCATCATCGACATCATTATCAGTAAGGTCAAGCTCCTCAAGAAAACGACAATGTTGCCCTATCAAAACAAAAGCTCCTGAAGGAACAAGGGTACACGACTCCATCTTGAGAGAAACGAGGGACCCACATGATTTTGTGAGATGGGCAATCGAAGCTTGAGTTATCTTTCTACAACATGTGATGTCTAGCCTTTTCAATTCTGTTTGTTTCATCACAACAGATGAAAGACCATCATCTGTCACACCCGAGCACTTACTTAAGCTTAGTTCCTTGAGCGAAACACACGAGTTTCCAATGCCCTTGAGTCCAGAACATGTAACATGGCAACCATCTAACCGGATCGATTGCAATTGGGAAAGCTTTTGCAGACTTTCAGAAACAGCAAGAGTTACCTGAACCACCCCATGTGTTAACAGGGGTTATTTAGCTGAATGACCTTAGAACCGAATTTAAGAATCTAATCCTCTAGTGTATTTCTAAGTTTTTGATGAAAATAGCCAGGAGCAGGTCAGGTAAAAAAAAACTAGAAGGTCATGCTCTTAATTGAAAATTCATTTAAGGTCGTTCATCCAACGGACCCTGTGTTAGAGCTTGCTTTGTTGAAGTTTTCTTAAAGTTGCACCTTTATACAAAAGTTCATCGCCATACTCCTTCCATCCAAAAAGAATGCAATGTTTGACTTCAGATATAGTTCAATAGAACGGTTAATATCAGTCAAAAGTCCAAAATACCAAAAAAAAAGGGGGAAATCTAGTGGAGCAAAACCAATGTTCTCAACATTCTGTTGCATTTATTTTGGATAATTATGTCTGTTATATTCAAAGAAAGAAGAAAAATCCCATCTTTTCAACTTCTTGAAAAGTTGGCTTTCCAAATCGCTACTATGTTTAGAGCTTTTCAAGTCCGTAACAAGATGGACGAGCATCTGCCATTAAGATTATCTCCATTACAGAAAGAGTTGCCACTTTGACTTCCTGGTCAAAGTATCAATCTTTCAGATTAAACCCCCAAAACTTTTGATTCATTGAATATTACTTAGGTGATCAGCTAAAAGAAGTAAAAACAAAATGCTTGTTTTCACGAGCAGTGGGCATATAACAAGAAGAAATGAGTATGGGACTTACCGTTGGCCCGTATGCTAAGCTAAGATTCTGAAGACAAGTGGTGCTGCTGGTTAGTGAAGACAATCCCACATGAGAAACATTCTCACAATACGACATATTCAACGTCTGTATAAAGTAGGAATTTCTTAGTTCCTTGAAAGACTTGGTACAAAAGAAAAGTAAATTTTCTTCTGTGTTTAAGAATGGATACCTTCAGTGACTTCCACCCTTGTTTGAGGGACACAAGACTTTCATCACCAATCCCACAACATCCTTCTAAAACCAAAACTTTAAGATATTGCAACTTCAATAGCAAAGGCAAGCATTTCTCCGTGATCTGTAAAAGATTAATATGAACAAGAAAGAATGAGAATTCAAGATTGTATCAAATAACCAAACAAAACAATCACAAGTTGTCAATTTCCACTTTGTGGGTCCCATCTCATTTTTTTCCGTCAAAAACCTCAAACCGCATAAAACGTGAAGGATTTTCATTCAAGCCCCGTACTTTTATGAACTAAATGTAAACATATGCAACATCTCTGTATAAACGTTCAAAATTCGATAATATGCAATAGACAACAATAGTGACACCAGCGAAATGACCAACAAAAATACGATGAAATGGAACAAAATTTAGCATGCACTTGAAGCAGCATCCATGTCATCTAATTTACGATTGTTTGTCATGGCATTTTAACGAAAAATCACCACATTTAATATGGTTTATTTATTCAAACCAAAACAAAATCTTTGAAGGTTTTAACATGCTAATAATTATGAGATTTCCCTGCAAATAGAAGAATTACTATTCCCTCTATCACCAAAGATGTCCATATTTGACGTTAGAACTTCAAACCTAACTTTTTTTATTTCAAAGTTTTTACATTTTCTTAGGTTGTTTAATCAGCAAAATGTTTCTATTCATAGTTTACAATATTTCCTTCCCAAAGATTAAGAATTATGTGTCACTTTGAAAGTAAAATTACAAGTCATTTGACTCCAAAAACCACAAGCTAAGAAACCAATTGGCAAGACCATACAAACCCTGCAAGCAACTAAAAATAGAAAGGAACATACTTTCAAATACTCGATGAAATGCACAGATGGAAGAGAGTTAACAAACCCATCAAATAAACAACAAACACATATAATCAAACAAGTGACAGGACAACAAGATTAGAAATCAAGCATCAACCAAAATGATTACCAAAAATACAAAAAAGAGGGAGTATACCAGCAAGTGAGAAAGATCCAAGCTTCTAATCTGCTTGCACTTAACAGCAATCAAAGCCACCCCTAAATCACTAACACCTAAACACCATTTCAAATTCAAAACCCTCAATTTTAAACACCCAACTGCAATACACGCAATTCCAATATCAGTCAAAGACTTGCACCTAGTTAAACACAACCTCTCCAAACTCCGACAACTCGCAATAGCCGCGGCTGCAGTGTCATTCAAATGCACAGCATTTGAGAGATCAATATCCACCAAATTAACACAGTTGGAAACCAAACATGACAAACCCACATGGGTAAAGAAATTAGACCTAGAAAGATTGATGGATTTCAAGGCTTTTCCGCAAGAATTCGATATGTATGATAAACTACTATCCGGGATTCGAGGGCAGAGGGAAAGATCGAGGTGGGTTACAAATGGGTATCGATTTAACAGCTTTTTTAATTGATCATGATGATGATCATTGGTAGTACGAGGAAAGGGCTTTAAGGTTTTGCGATGACGAGATTCAATTGAATAGAATGATTTGGAAACCAAAGAGAATGATTTTCGATCAAATGGGTTTGTTTGGAGGCAATCTAAGATTAAGAAAACGATTTCTTCTGAAAGAAAATCAAAAGGGTTGATCTGGGTTTCAGCATCTTCCTGGATACATTTTTGCTTCTTCATTTTACCTCTTGAAAAACAAAATTATGTAAACTAATAAAGAAATGAGATTCGATTTTTGTTCAAAGCATATAATAATTAGATTAGAAAGAAATTGGTTGATGGATTTAAAGAAGGTGGAGATGGTTTTTGAAGTAACCGTTTAACAGGAAAAAGGCTGGTTTGGTTATTGGGGCAGTTGATAACTGGAGTGAAGGTAGAAGATGAAGGAATGGGGGCACAGGGATAATGACGACATTGCCCTTTCCGCCTTCCCTCGATGAAAGAAATTGATTGGATAATTTTGTGCCTGTGAAGACAGTAATACCCCTAAGCCAATTTTCGTTGGAAGACATGTACGTATGCAAAATAAAAACCAAAACGAAAATTTATTTTAATGATTTAAATTTTATGTCAAGAAAATTTAAGATATCAATAAAAAAATATAGTAGGTGGCAGTTGGTTTATGTAACGGAATCCATTGAAATTAAAATTTGTTAAAATGTTTGCTTTGTATAATGTTTTTTAATGTAATGGAATTTGTCAAACAAATCTGACTTTGAAGAAATTGGAATACAGTATTGTCAGGTTTGACCTCTTGTTTGATTGGTAGAATTAAAATATGTCTGTTTGGTTCACATAATGTAGCTTTAGAATTTGAATATAATTTTAGTGAATGACCAAAATATCCTCTTTTGGAATGGAACCTGTTTCAAGTTATTATAGTTATCGACCAAACATAAATTGATTCAAACAGGACACAAAACAAATATCCAATATATAGAAACATAAATCGAACAAACAGGTTGGATAAATATATGTCTGTTTGATTCGTTAGATATAATAGTGGTGGATGAATGGAGGCGGTAGTGGTGATGATTGTGATGACGATGATGGGGACAGTGACTGTGATGACGATAGTGGTAGTGGTGGTGACGGCGACAGTGCTGGTGAGGGTGAAGGTGATTGTGGTAACCAAACATATTATATTTCAACGAACCAAACACACATATTCAAATTCTTTTGACAAATTATATTTCAGTTCCTATCAATCAAACACATGGTCAAACATGATTAAATTTCATTTCAGTTCCTTTGACAGGTTACAATTCTAACATATTCCATTATGTAAACCAAATGTCACATAATAATTTTCACTTAAAAGATGAGATAAAATAATTAAAATTATTTACTTGAACTCAAGGAATTTACATCCCACCGTTTATGAATTTCTTATCAAAACTGAAAGAATAAACAAATTGAAATAAATGAAATTTTGGTCATTCTAATTCCATCAAATTTCGTTAGATTCCAACTAACCAAACACCAAGTTAGTGTTTATAAATTACAAGATAGATTCTTCAATGAGAATATGGTATTTCTATATGCACGTTAATTAGACTCAATTAATATAACTGATGTTTTTTTAATATCTAAAACATAAATTGCATCAAAATATAAAGTGTTTTATTTTTATTTTATAAAACATATTTTTAAAAGTTTTGTTTTGAAAGATGTATTATGTTTTTTATATGATTAAGAGAAGTACCATGTCTTTAACTCTTTACTCTCTAATTAAGAAAATATATTATAACTTTTTGAATAAAAAGAGAACACCTATGATTTTGTAAATAAAAAATCTTATTTTACTTTTTTGTTAGAGACACCATAAACAAGTTTTTGAAAATAGTAATCTAATAAAATACATTTTTTAACACAATTTGCTCATATATAGTTATAAAAGAATAGAAATATCCATGATAGAGAGTTGGATGTTCCATAAATGAGGATACTCTAGAAAGACATGTTGTTGATCATCTCTCTCATTGATTTGATGATTATCCTTTTTACCTTTCGAAGTATTAGTGATCGTCACTAAGTCTGTTTAGTGATCGCTGAAACACGCATTGTAATCCTACAGCAACAGCGATACTTCAAGAAGACACAACTCACACCAAATAACCTTCAATGATTGTCGAAGACTGAAACTGAAGATTAGTGACTGGCGTGTTCGTGATCTGAAGCGGTATTTAGTGATTACAACATGGTCAACACATGTGTGAAGACTGCACAAGCCTCAGTGAATGCTGAAGAGACCTCCAGCGTTATTCCAGCATTCAACGATCAAATGAAGCTTGTCATGCACAATTGTTTTTGTTTTCTCCTTCCATACACAAAGGACAAACTTAAGAGTATAATATTGCACGGAGCCGACTAGTCGACTCTAGTGCCCACCAACTCCACAAAAGGAATTCTGCTCATGAATAGACAAATATACTATTCACTGTTGCAAAAGACAAGCTTTCCTCTTAAAGCTTGACGCGTGTTCCAACCCTTCTAATTTGCGTATAATGCAATGGGTATATATAGTTGAGTGTTCTCTTCATGCAAGAACACACATCTATTAAAACAACACATACGCTTATCTTCAAGCAAGTTAGAATCTCTCTCTAGAATTCTAAAGTTCTTATCCAAGAAGAAAGTCTTTATGTCTTTATCTTTTCGGCAAATCTTTTCAATTTTGCTAAGTATATTTGTATGTAATCTTAAGATTGTTTTAGATAGGTAATCTTTACCTTTTCTATTTTTGCCAACAATCTGCAAAAAATCTATATTGATCCTTCTTTATCAATATATATTTTTAAATACGAAAGTTTTCTGTGTTTGTATTCATCCTCCCTCCCCCCTTCTACAAACTGATTGTCTAAAACTCTTGTAGACCCGGCTGGGACCAACACATGTAGTTGGACGATGTTAGATAGGATACCAAACAAGGTATTTCATATAAAGTTGGGAGTTGTGCCTTATCACATGTAAGTTGAGATAGGGATGGTTGCAATGGTTTAGATACATGCATATGAGACCATTACAGCACCAGTGAAGAGTGTAACACTCGGATTTGTAGAATATAAACATATTTATACATATATATATATGTGTGTGTGTGTGTGTGTTTGTGTTTGTGTTATTTTCTGAATTTAATTCACCCTATTTTCAAGTCTTTTAGTTAGGTAAATGTTGGTAGAAATCCATATGAGAAAACCCAAGAAAAAGGTTGAAGCAGGGAGAAAATGAGGTTGTCGCGACCTAAGTCACGGCGATAGTTGCATAAGTTTATGTCCGTTTGGGGTTGAGCGGTAGAGAGTCTCGCGGTTAGGCCCACGACCTAGGATAGAGGGGAAGTCACACAGGTACGAAACTTCATATATGTGAGTTGTTCGAGCATGAGGGACTCATGTCACGACTTGGGTCGCAGGCATGGTCACAAGGATGCACCTAGGTCATTTAAATTGAGTTTTTTAGGGGTTTGATTCCTCCTCATTCTTCTCTCTCTCTCTCTCTATATATATATATATTGTTGGGTCACCTATTGATTTGGTGATGACCCACTGATTTGTTCCTCTACATTAGCAACACCTAGTAGTTATTGGTTCTTTGTATACTGGTGTCTTGGTACATACTTAAGCCATTGGCAAAATTGAAGACTAGCCGATGTGAAGACAGAAGGTCACCGATGCGGTGTTGTGGATCAACTGTCTAATATATACACCAAGACTTCAAAGTAGCTGAAATGAATATTCAAAATATTTTGATGCTACAAGCCGATTGAAGGAAGATCTTCATAGACCGAAGATTGAAAATCTTCATGGACTCAAGATTGAAGGAAAATCTTCATAGACCGAAGATTGAAAATCTTCATGGACTCAAGATTGAAGATCATGGACCGAAGATTGAAAATCTTCATGGACTCAAGATTGAAGATCATGAACCGAAGATTGAAAATCTTCATGGACCGAAGATTTGTGAG